CATTTTAGTATTTAATGATAACATGTGCATAAGTGTTTTCATATACTCCCTTCGTCCAAAATAACTTGTCCCAAGTTTGTCCCTCAAATGGATGTATCTAACACCAAATTAGTGCTAGGTATATCTCTTTGAAGGGCAAGTTTTTTCGGACGGAGTGAATATACCCAACGCATATATATGCGACGCGACGCGAATGTGTGTGTGTGTGTGTGTGTGTGTGTGTGTGTGTGTGTGTGTGTGTGTGTGTGTGCAATCATAATTCAGTTCAAGACTTAATTTGGTTGCAAACATATAGGATAGCTCCACAAAAACAACCAATCTATAAGGACATATGTAATAGGCATTTCTAAAATATCTCATCATACAAAGAAGGTATTATTTAAGTTTGCACCCTGAACATAATTTCAAAAATTAATGATAATTGCATATTTGAAATCTACATATTTTTCTGATGAGTTTTCATATATGGCATGTCAGATTTAAAGTTAGGGTTTCAAAGATATGAAAATTTCAAAAAGTAATTGATTTTTTAAAGGAAAAGAGTGGTTGTGGGAATCGAACCCACGACCTCTAGCGCGGTAGGTCACGGAACCAACCAGTGCGCTGCTCGCCTGGTCGTTATATATGAGGGGATCTCCCCTTATTGAGCTATGGACGAGCGCGAAAAAAAAAAACAAAACGTTCTTCTCACTTACCGGTGGCATTGGTGGGTAATTATTTGCAACTTTAGGGGCAGTTTTAATGACGGACGGGCAGAAGCGATAGCCGCTTTATTAGTAGGTAAAGATAAAGAGGTAAAGATAAAGATATATAGTAGTACATCCACCGCTAGCTAATTGGTGTATTCTATAAGAGCATATATGGGAGTGCAAGAGGACACAAGCATAGTTCAGCTTCTCATCATGCCCGTCCACCACCTGAACCCGGCGCGTTCTTCTTCGTTTACCTGCCCGGGCGACGGCTTGAGATAGTGATCGAGGCACTCGTCCATGACGCGGAGGTACATGTGCTTGAACATGGCCGGGTTGCGGGTGAAGCACTTGCGCAGCGCCGCCGTGGCCTGGACGCAGGCCTTGGCGTCGACGACGTGCTCGCCCCGCTGCACGACCGACGTCGGGGGACTCGGGTGGCACTCGCCCATCGCCTTGGCGAAGTGGTCGAAGCACCCTCCGTTGGTCACGTGATGCACGACGGCCTTCTCATCGGCGACAGTGGCGGTGCTCTGTACAAGGGGAGCCATACGATCCGCTGTTTCTTGGCCTGTTTTAAGGAACAATGATTCGAGTAATTTATCAAACATCCCCATGGCGTTAGCTAAGCTAGCTAGCATATTTTTACGATCTTGTTCCAACAGAGATCTCGTCGACGATGATGCAACGACGTGTTTCATGGTCATGGCAGTGTTGAGACGACCAGCACCCATGACCAATTATACAGAAGATGGTGTTCCACCATTTGTCAATCACATAGCTACCTGACAGAAGCATTGTGTATGAAAGTGAGTGTAAGAAGGATAGTTTAGAAAAAAAAAACAGTCAGGTGGATGCTGGCAAACATCACGAATTCCACGATACCTTCGCATTGGGACAGACATGCGCTCGCGTCACACGATCACGTAGGATCGAACGGCGTCGGACACGGCTGACAAAGCCAATAAACATCCGTCTGTTTCGAAGCCAATAAACATCAAGCCGAGCTAGCTAGGTAGCTTTCCTCATGCATTCTCCGGCCAGGGCTTCTTGAAGCCCTCTTCGATCTGTTGAAGCTAGCTCCGGCCGGCCTTGTCCTCTCTAGCAGGGCCTAGTCGGGCACCGGCTCTTGATCTGTTGATCAAGATCACCGGCGACAATATTGCAAGTAGAAACTCAACGACAGTAAAGAAAGAGATCTTAATATCGAAGCAAATAGCCCAGGTACGTCTCCCCGCCATTAATCAGTCTAATCTGTATAGCACAAGCATCCATGCATTGCTAGGACTAGGATTACAAGTATTAATTAATCAAGCGTTGCTAGCTAGCTTCTCCACCTGCCTCCGGCTCCGGCTCCGTCTTCTTGAAGCCCTTCTCGAGGCTGAGGTCCTTGCGGGCGAGGTGCTGCGGGCGAGGTGCTCCATGCGGCCGACGAACTGGAGGTCGAACCACTCGCTGTTGCAGCCGGCGATGCACTTGCGCAGCGCCGCCTCCGCCCTCGCGCACGCCTCTTTGTCCACGACGCGCTCGGCGTCGGCCCGGTGCCCCTCGATCTCCCTGGGGTAGCACTCCCTCAGCGCCGCAATGAACTGGTCTCCACAGCCGCCTTTGTCCGCATGGTCTATGACCTCAACGACTTCGCCGAGGAACTTCAGGGAGGACTCGATGGCCCCCATGTCCACGGCTGACCGGCGGTGTGCTAGGGTAAACGCACGTACGTAACTCACGGTCGATCGTTACGTTCTTCTAGAACCGTGCCGCCCGTCAGATGTTTATGTATACGTATGGAGACTTTCCGCTCAAGGATTTATCGGCGTTGCAAAAACAAAAAAGGTTGCCATAGGTGTCAATCCTTTCGTTAACTAATAGTGCTTGTCGTTTTAGAAATAATTTTCATAACAACTGCCTTTATCCTGGCCAAAACTTATAAAAATACATTCTAATAATCAACATAACTTTCATAATAAATACTTTTCTCACCAACCACATCTTAATATTTGTAGTGCATTTTGTGATTAAAGCTGGTCGGGTTTGGTTGCAAGCACTCGATGATGGCATATATTTAAAACAATAGGCAATACGCAGTACAGTTGTAGCAAGACAGACAAATAGACTAACAAAATAGGTCTAGGACACATCTAGATGTGTCATAATTATTGCACATCTAAATGACTTAATCAAACTAGAAAGAAAAAAACAAAATGCATGCATGAATCTTTTTTGTAATATCAATGAAATAAGACTTAGACGTGTAATACTTAGACCATTTATAGCCGGACTTGGCAAATCCGGCTCCTCAAACGCCTGCGGATGCGTCCGCCAGCATCTGATCGGGCACACCTCAAATTTTACTTGTTGCATCCGGACATCTCATAATCGATTTTTATTCCATACAAACCCATGCAAAAGGAATAGAACCTACGTACTACGTTGATCCTAGCTACTCAACGTTGGAGATCACAATGATCTCCGTGCCCGGCTCCGGCAGCATGGGCGGCAGCTGCAGCTCCGACTCCTCATGTGCCTCCGGATGCTCCACTCTGGCCTCCTTCGCCTCTATATCCGCGTCGAGCTCGACGAAGAGCGCGTCGGACGTCCGCCTGCTGCCGCCGGACAAACGCCCGGTTGGTCTCCGCATGCGGGCGGCGCGCGCGGCTTCCCTTGTCCGGATCCGCTGCTGGATCTCGTAGCTGCGCTCCGGCGTCAGCATGGCATAGTAGGTGATCTTGTTCCGGACCATGGCGGAGTGCCGGAGCGTGGGCCGAGCGTCGGAGCAGGAGAGGGAGGAGGTGGATGGGCTCAGACTGGCGGCACAGAGAGGGGGGAGGGGTGGGTTAGGGTTGCGGGACGCCGGCCGGCATAGCCCGATTTCGTCTTGGGCAGGGAGGCGGAGTAGTGCCATGCAGCGTTCACACCGCGGCAATGGAGGCGGCGCCCGTCGGAACTCCGGGCTTCCGGGCATTTCCATGTGGGACCAAGCCGTCAGGCCGACGTGGCGGGCATGCCCGGGCACGCCCCGGCTCTCTCATATCCGCCCCATATTTGGGCTAGATATGGGGGGTGCCGGTCAGTTCGGGCATTTGACGACCATTTGAGAGGCAAGTCTGGGTCAAAAAATCATGACCGGGCAGTGACCGGACGGCCTACCCGGGTGTATGAGACGGGTTTGAGAGGACCGGTTGTAGATGCTCTTATGGGACATCTTGATGTGCATTAGCAAAACAATATCAATTTTTTTGGCATATATAGACTGTTGTATGGAAATGTGTTCACACCAGCCTGCCCTTGCCTGTCGCCCTGTGTGCGACCAGGGTCTCCCCTCCACCTCTCCCTCCTCCCTTGCTGCTGCCGAAGGGCACGGCCAAGCAAAGTGGCGGCTAGGAGATCTCGTCTCCACCCGTGGAGGGTTGGGGCCAACCAAGGCATCAAGGGCCTGGAAGCGTCGCTGGGCATTGCGTCGGTAGGATTCCGAGCGGAACAACCAACATGCAAGAATCAGAAAAAAAAAACAATGACATCAGTGCAACAAATGTTATTTTTTAAATTTCAAATTATGTTAACTCCCAAACAACATACTCGATTTAATACTCATCCTCATGGTTGCCTTTGTCTCCATGAGAACTTCTATGTTGGATCAGGTATGTCTATCTTTCAGCGGGAAAAAAACTATCCACCTTAAATGAAGCCACCTACGTGGTAATGAAATTGCAATGGTATTGTACCCAAGTGACAACTTTGATAACGACACAAGGGCAATTTTGGCATTCATTTATCATCGTGTGGCAACTTTAGGATCCAAAATAAAGTTTGTGTGATTATACCCAGGTGATATCTAGTTTCGAAGACCTCGACGATAAACAACAGTCCATGAAAATGAACCGTGAATCGGGCAGACGGTTTTGTCTGCAAAACAATTTCCCTCTTACTATGTTTTCTATACCAGATAGATGCATGCCGTGGAAAAGCCACAAGGACGATGTACCCAAAGTCTAGTGAGTGAATGTTTTGTCCATATAATGAATGTTATCTTTTATTGGTATAAGAAAGAAAGCGAGTTCAACAGTTCTAGAAAGAAAACTCAAATGTCCATACAAATTCAGTGTATGATATCCAATTTTATACTTCATTCGTCCTGAACTACAATGCTTACTAGATTATACGGAGGGAGGGGCATGCCTACATGCACGCAAAATAGAACTCCAATGTTTAATTGTTCTGGTCTACAAGTATTTGTATAAAACCTATCACCATCACTTACAATGCATATGCATACCGAAGGGTTTGAGGAACCACCACTGCTATGTTGTTTTGGCCGAAAGATTTTGTACTAGTAGCTAGTAGTCAGGGAACTCGAATGAAGTGAGAACAATGAGATAAGTATGTTTTGGCTGATAGATTTTGTAGTAGTTGTCAGGGAACACGAACGGAGTGAGAAAAATGAATATCGCGCACATACACGGACACTCCACAACTAAAAGGAAAAGATAATTCAACAGATATAACTTTTGCCTATTATATCAGCATACTAACTTGATCGCTTATATAATCGATCTAATCCGTCTATACGAGTATAGGCCATGCATGTATGCAAAGCATAGCTTATCTTAGCTTCTCCTAGGGCGTGTTTGGTTTCTTGTCTCGCACTTGCATCGCATCCACCATGCAATTTTCGCAACGTTTGGTAGGCTGCACGTCGCTCTGGGCCAGGCCCGACTGATGCAAAATAGGCCCCCCAGCCAGGCTGAGCTCGCACGCAAGTTTCGCCCGTTTCCGCGAGCCTGCATCCGCGCGAGCGCCCACGCTTGCACCCACGCGAGCGAAGAGGGCTAGGGCTTCTCTCCCTGTCGATTCACACCCATATCCGCGCCGCACTCCTCACCCCTCTCCTCTCTGCTGCGAACGGATCTCGCCGCCCCGTCGCCTCGCGAGCACATCGCCGGCGCGCATCCTCTCCGCGCAGAGGTTGACTCTCCTCCTCGGCTCCTCCCATCCCTCTCGAATCCATCTCATCTATCTCTGCTGCTGTTCCCTGCGCGCGCGCTTTGATCGCAGCCGAGCTCCCGGCCATGGCCGTTGTCGCCATGGGAGCTGCTCCCCTCGCTCTTGTACAGGCGGGTGCGTCTTGGTCGAAGCCGAGCTCCCGGCCATGGCCGCCGTTGCCATGGGAGTTGCTCCCCTTGGCCCTGTACAGGAAGGTTTGCAATGACATCTAATGAGGCTCTTGGGGTTCCTTCAATGGTGGGAACCTCCTCCTCATTTGTAAACCTTGAAGCTTGTGGTTCTGAATTTGTTGTTGATGGGAATGAACCTGGATCGAGTGCTACTGCTGCTGTTCATGGGGAAGCTGCTGCTGCTGCTCATGGGAACGAACCATGTAAGGATGCTTCTAGCTCCACTGGCAAAAGGAAGAGGGCTAGCTTGATGAGTGAAGAAGAAGTTTTGGTCATGAGCAACATGTCTGAAGATGTCCATGAAGTTGCTATTGCTATCAAGTCCACCGGAGAGGCACATCCTGAACTATATGATGCTGTCATGGAGCTCCCTGGTTTTACCGAGGATGATCTGTTGATTGTCTTGGATTATCTCAATGAGAATGCCAACAGGGCTAGGAGCCACT